CTGACTAGCTGCCAGGGACAGTGCTGACTGCAGCTCTCCACATCCCCAGTATCCCTGTGGGGGGGTTAATGTGCCTCTTTGATAGGTGAGAGCTTCAGGCTTGGTAGGTGAAGAGGCCTCCCCAAGGTTGCAGAGTCAGCAGGTGGTGGAGCTCGATTTGAAATGAAGTCTGATGCCCAAATGGCTTCTCTTTGTGCTGAGCCAGGTTCTCAGTGGATCTTTCTTACTGGCGCCCCACAGTCACTCCCAACCCCACCGTGGCAGCCCCACCCCAGGACCACCTAGAACTGCCCTGTCATCACTTACAGGCTTTCCATCCAGACCCAGTGGCCCCTGGAAAATGAGAAGAGAGAGCAGAGGTTACTTATGGGAAAGGCATTTCCTCTGGGTTATGACCTAGAGGCACTGTTGAGTGACAAGAGACTAAAGACTGTGCCGAGCCCGTGGTCTGGGTACGTTTCACGCAGATTCTGGGTGGGAGCATCTGGATGTTGTTTGCTGCCCAGAATCCCCACCTCTGACAACAGAGCCCCATTTCTTCTCCAAAAACCACTCCCATCTCCACCTATGGGGCTTGGGCATTCCCTCAGCCGGGGTGATTGGTTCAGGGATGAGAGGCATGCCTGGGACTTGGAAAGGTGGCACTTCGGGGGAAAGAGGGCTCTTTTCACCTGATGGAGCTAAGCCTGGAGCTCCTGGGGCACCAAGTGGCTTGAGAAAGAGGGAACAGAGAGGAAAGCAGAGCTGAGAGATGGAGAGAGAGACAGGGCGAATGAAGGGCCTGAAGCTGAAATCACCAGGCACTCTTCTCTTTGCGAATACATTTTTTCCTTAAGCCAGCCTGAACTGAGTTTCTGTCCCTTGTAATTTGTTTTGGACTGAATGTTTGTGTCCCCTAAGCTCCAGTATGATGGTGTTAGGAGGTACGAGGTTTGGGAGGTGATTAGGTCATGAGGTTGGAGTCCTGGTGATGGTTTGGGAGGTGATTAGGTCATGAAGTTGGAGTCCTCGTGAATGGGATTAGTGCCCTTATAAAAGGGACCCCACAGAGCTCTGTGCTGCCAAGTGAGGACACAGCGAGAAGTCCACCGTCTGCAACCCAGAAGAGGTCCCTTCCCAGATTTTGACCTTGCTGGACCTGATCTCAGACTTGCAGCCTCCAGAACTGTGAGAAATAAATTTCTGTTGTTTATAAGTCACCCAGTCTGTGGTACTTTGTTACAGCAGCCCAAACGAACTAAGACATAACTGGAAGAATGCTGAAGGCTCTTTCGGCTCCCTGCATTGCTGTGGCCTTTGCAAAAGTCAAGGCTGAGGGAAACAAAAACACACAAGGGCGAGTCCTGAGAGCTGGGGCATCTCACGGGCCCTGGGGGCTCTGTGGTGTCTGCAGAGGGCCAGTAACCACTGCATAGCAGCCCACTGGGCCCCCTCCACCCACCCACCTAACCATGTGGGGTGCAGAGGAATACAATGGGGAAAGGGGTGTCTCGGACCCGGTCTATCTGTTCTCTGCAGACCCCTGTCCTCCTCCTGCCAGAAGAGGTCCAGCAAATGATCTAGGCAGCTCCACTCCCCCGAGCCTTTTATACACACTGCCTGCCTCTGTGCACCGTCTTCAGCTCATTACCGCCTCTTCCACAAAGAGGCTTCTCCACTTCCCAGAGTCAGGGGGCTCCTGGCAGTACTGACCCCTGGATTCATACGACAGAGCCCTCCTCCCTTCAGGAGTCTGCTAAAATGGGCCCTGGCCCTCCTCCCCAAGCCCAGGCCCTACTAGGTCTTCTCAGGGCCACATCCCCCTGGGTGTTTCTGCCCTGGAGCTCTCACTCAGGCCCAGCCTTCTAGCTGCCACAATACACACGGGACCCAATTCCCATCCTGGATGTCTCAGTGGCTCCCACACTTGGTCTTAATCATCACAGCAGCCTTGTGAGGCAGGTGCTACTGTCCCCATCTTTTTAAAAAAAATATATGTCTTTATCGATTTCAGGGAGAGGAAGGGAGAGGAGAGAGAGATAGAAACATCAATAATGAGAGTCATTGATCGGCTGCCTCCTACATGCCCCCTACTGGGGGTCCAGCCAGCAACCTGGGCATGTGCCCTGACTGGGAACTGAACCTCGATTTCCTGGATCATACATAGGTTGATGCTCAATTGCTGAGCCATGCCGGCTGGGCCTGTCCCCATCTTACAGAGCAGGAAACAGGCCCAGCAAGGGGAAGACCTTGTTTGCCCAAGGCCACACAACCAGTAACAGGCCAGGGCTGGAGCTGGACGCACTTCAGTTCTGTGTTCTCTCTGCACTTAAACCCCTGTAGTAAAATCGCCTGGCGTCCAGCTCGTCTAGCCCCTCTCCCTGCCCTTGAACGCCGCTGTTCAGACCTTCCCTGCTCCATCCCACTGCCTCCTGGACCTCGCCTGCCCAAGTGTACCCAAACACCTTGACCAGCGTGGCTGCCACCACAGACTCTGTGCCCAGACCCTGGATGCGTCGGTAAGTCCCTCTGAACAGTCCAAATGCGGCGCAAACTTCGCCCTTCTATAATGCTGCATAGATTAAAAAAGAGACTAAGGTGCAGCTTAGAACTAAGGCTCTTTCCTCCTCACACACTAGAAGGGAAGGCACAATGGGCCTCACTGCTGTCACCGGCAGCTGATGGGGACAAGAATTGGCCTAAGGGCCTGAATGGTGTTATGAGTTCAAGGTGCCCCTGATAAGTCTAATGAAGACCCCCTGCCCCTGGGGACCACAGAGAGGGAGACTCTATACTTTAGACTTGACCGAGCCCTGCTATATCCTTCATGGCGCCTGCCCTCACAGCAGCCCTGGGAGGCAGGCCCCATGGCCTCATCCTACAGATGAAGCAGCTGAGCCTGTGGACTGTCCAAGGGCTGAAATCAGCTCTGCTCTCCACGCAGTGCTCCTTCTCCTGCAGCACAGGGTAGAGGGGGTGACAGATGGCTATTCTGGGGGACCTGGGGGACAGAGCCTCACAGGCCTTGCATTCCTTCCTGGATTCCTGGTACATCTGTCTCCCTCACAGAGCAGACCCTCCCCAGGCAGGGTTATCTGAACCCTCTTTCACCCTGACCCTTTGCCAGAGACAGTGCTGCGTCAGACAGACACTTGCTGTGTGACCATGGGTGAACCAGTCGACCTCTCTGAGCCTCAGCATCCTCACTGCCCTTTCTGAACAGCAGGGATATTCCAGCTTTGGCTTCATTCCAGTTTCCCCCTACACTCTGCCACCCCCATGGGCTCCCTCCAGTCTCGGGATTTAGAAAAAGCTGCTCTAGTGTCTCACTGGTACATCTGGTACCCCTTGAGGCTCCATGCACTGTCACACATCACGTTGTTTACTGGACCCAAGCTGTGCTCCACTCCCCTGCACAGTGTCCTGCCTCCCCCACCTCATTCTTCAAGGCCCAGCTCAAAAGGGCCCCCTTCGGGGAGCATCCCCAGGGAGAAGTGGCATCTGCCTGGCCTATTTGCTGCAGAGCTGGTCCCATCCTTCCGGAGGAAAGCCCTATTGCCCGAGCTCTAAGGGGTATGAGGAGCGGCTGGAGGAGGCAGGCTCTGGATTCAGACACACCTATGATCAAATCCCGGCTTTCCCACGTGCCAGCTGGTGACCTGGGCCTTATCATCTCTAACAGGGAGATGGGCCTCCCTGCTTGCTGACTTGGGTGTGTGGGGGCTGCTGGAAAGGCGCTTTGTCTACTGAGTGAAACAGACCTGCTGGCCCTTCCCATAGTTACCCCACATGCTGCCTTTGCCATACTGCTGTCCCATAAAACACTGCTTTGCAGAGTGTTAATAGGCTGGTCTGGGGATTCCAAGGTCACCTAAGTTTGAGAAACACTGGGTTACACCCTGCAAAATAGGTTTCTTTCCTGCAAGATTTGTCTGAGCTGTCATCCTGCTTGTGGTCTCCGGGAGGGCACCATTCTCGGCCTCGCTGGACCCTCGTCTCACGCCCTGGCTGAGCCTTAGCAAAGCGACTCTGGTGGGAGTGCGGTGTGGACCAGGTGCTGCTATGGGCTGGAGGGAGGCTTGAGCCTAGGTCTGGGTGCTCCGAGAGGAGGAGGTACACCCTGGGGAAGGGCCAGAGGCTGGTCGGAAGGGCGTCAAAGGGCAAACATGGGGTGGAGGGCACGGTCAGGCTGGACCAAGGCAGGGCAGGGTCTATAGAGGCTGAGTGTCCCAGCTGATGACAAGCTGGTTATGAGCAGAAAGGGGCAATGTGGAGGAGCAGAGTGCTGGCCTGCGTGGAGGCATGCCTTTGGTGGTGGGGGTCCTATTCCATCATGGGAGCCCTCCCCTGCTCCAGACCATGGGATACCCACCACTGGCTGCCCCCCTGCTCCTCTCCCTGTGCCTCTCACAAGAGGAGCAGGAAAGAAAGGTGCTTGGGCAGCCCATGGAGTGAAGGCAGGGCTGGCCTTGCCTGGGGTCAGATCCCCTCCGAGATGCAACTTCCACAGAATAGGTGCTCCCAAGGGTCCGATGCCACAGCACTGTGCCCGCAGGCTGAAGGCTCCCTCCCCTGCCTGATCAAAGCCAGGGAACTCACCAGAGGTTTTCAACACCCAAACCTCACAGCTGTTTACAAGCCTGGTTCTGCTTTAAACCCCACTTTCCCTGAGCAGGTCAGCTGAGCCCCAGAATGTTTCAGGATGTGAGAAGCAAACAAGATTCTGGGCTGCACTTGAAAAGCAGGCCAGGCAGGCAGAGGCCCTCATTCCCCCAACTCCTGTTGCTCGCTCAGCCGCTACCTCCCTCAGGGACCAGACTATCCTTAAGCCTCAGTTTGCTCATCTGAGGTCATGTCCATCTTCTCTCAAATGACAAGTTCCACGGGTCCCAGTCAGTCTCCCAGGCTCCTCTGTCTCCTCCTCTCAGACCAACCTGACACATGAGACCCTGCAGGCAAGCTGACACAGAGTTGGGGTCTGCATTGGCTCTGGGGGATGGGGAGTGCTGGGAAGTGACCTTCATGTGGCCCTCTGGAGTGGCCAGCAGGGGGACACCAAGCTCTGCCTTTGTGGGTCTGCTCACTTCCTCACACCTGGAATATTTCCTGAGCAGCATTCCACAGAGCCATCCTTTGAGAAAAATTAACACGGTGGCAAAAGAGAGGAGGTTTCTTGATGAAATAAGCTTGGGACGTGGGCTATACTGGCTCCATAGCTGCAGCTTCTCAATGTCCCTCAGGAAATGAAGCCTCTGAGGCGCCTGCAGCAGGGAGCCACACTGGCCAGGGTGGCTCCAGCTTCCTGATCCATCAGTGCGAGTTATCTGTTGAACTGAACTAAATCAATAAACTGG